GACGCTGAGCTTGGCGATTGTGTCCTCACCAGGCCTGGTCCCCGGCAGGGCGCAGGGCTGCAGGAGGTGGTCCCAGTAGAGGCTGAGCGTGGAGTGCTCCTGCTGCTCCAGCTCCTTCAGCTCGTGCAGTTCCTTGGCGCTGGCCGCCGGTGTCTGCACCTCAAAAGTCATGTCGAAGCGGCTGTAGTCCACCCGGAAGGCGCCTTTCTCGAGCGACATGCAAGGTTCAAAGCGGTATCCCCACAGGATCTCATCCTCAGTGTACGAGGTGCGGGCTTGGCACGTCATTCCTGCGGCAAGACAACGGCTGAGCTGCTGCAATTAACCACCCACCGCCCAACGCAGGGGCTGCCAGCCCTGGGTCACCCATTGCTGGGGGGGAGCTGGTTTCAGGCCCAAGCATCTCTATCAGGGTTGCCAGCCCTCAGCAAAAGTTCACCTGGCACCTCCAGGACCCCAGAGTGCTGCCTGTCCCACACCTGACCCTCCATCCCACTCACCTGTGGCTTCCACAATGCCCTCGAGGATGATGATGATTTCAAACTGCTCCCGGCGCAGCGACTCGGCTGACAAGTCCCAGAAGGGGCTGTGGTGGTTGATGACGTGGCAGATGATCTGGGGCTCCACCAGGAATAGGCGGTCCTCCCCTGTATCATAGCCCAAGTTCAGCTCTGACTGTTCCAGGGGGATGAACTCCCCCTCAGAAGTCTGCCGGGACTTGATCAGCTTGGCCCGGATCTTGGCATCCACCATGTGGCTGTCCCGCAGGTCCCCCACACGGAACATCAGGCAGAGCTTCTCATCCCGGCGGGAGATGACACAGTTCTTGCTGAACATGAGGGTCTGGGCACGCTTTTTGGGCCGGGAGATCTTGACAAACATGCAGCCCACCATCAGGGCATCAATCATGGAGCCAATGATGGACTGTGCCATCAGCAGGATGACACCCTCAGCACAGTTGGCTGTCACCATCCGGAAGCCGTAGCCGATGGTCCGCTGGCTTTCCACAGAGAAGAGCAAGGCGGAGATGAAGCTGTCCACGTTCTCGATGCATGGCTGCCACTTGGGATCACCCTGGTGCCTGATGTCATCCCGCACCCAGGCATCAAAAAAGTAGATGCTGCCGAAGACCACCCAGGTGATGATGTAGCACATCATGAAGACGAAGAGGAACCAGCGGTACTTGAGGTCTACGATGGTGGTGAAGATGTCTGAGAGGAACCGCTTCTTCTCCTGGATGTTGCCCAGGCTCACCTGGCACTTGCCCACCTTGGTGACATAGCGCTGCCGCTGTCTCTTGCTGGTCTGGACCATGGGGCTGTCCTCCTCCAGCAGCTTTCGGCCCCGACTCTGCAGCCCCTCGGTGGTGGGGACGG